TGCATTTTCCTCAGATCATCTCATCCAAGGCTTTACCTTCACTTCATCAGCCTCCTTCTCCTCCTCCATTCAAAAGTTTAGCAGCCATACCTGCTTAGTGTAATATTTTCATTTCAAGCATTCGTTTTAACGGTTAGGGCTGGGCTGGCCACTAGATGAATGACAAATGATCTTTATTAATCCCTCTTCCTTCCCAAAGTGGAAAAGAAAGGGAATGAGAGAGAGAGACTTAAGGGATGGAGAAGAAAAAACTAAAATATATTTAATGAAACAATAAAATACAATACTATTAATAACAAAATAATGAAATATATGCAAATATATACAAAACCAGTATCAAACCCAACCTCCTGATGGCAATTGCATCACCACTGACACTGCAGAGCAGGCACTGGGCAAGTCCCAGTCTGACTGAGTGGCAGATGGGAACCAGATTCTGGAACTGGACTTGGGAACACAGATACTGGGATCTAAGGCAGAAGAACCGACAGAGCCCTCTTCAGACACTGGCCACTGAAGAAGACAGCTTGACCCTCAGCTTTATCCTGAATATGACATAAACAGAATGGAATGCTTTTTGGTCAGGCTTGAGTCACCTTCCCTGTCCCCTCCTCCCCAGAGGTGCAACCTTTTACTTCCTTGTGACATTTTTACTTCCCGGCACCCCCAGCGTGGCACACAAGAGCCAGCAGTGGCCTTTGACACTACAGGAGCAAGTATCCGCAAGAGCCTTTCTGCATGCCAATCCCTGGTAGTCACTGTAAACATCAGGCATTATCACTTCTAGCAGCACACACTGTCTGCGAAAACACGCTGTTGACTTCAGAAAATGCAGCCTCTTAGAAGACACTGAGCTGAAAAGTAAAATCACTGAACAGAATTGGTTCTGTTTAGCTCGAACCAGGACAGCGTAAGAAGGATTTATGTTCCAAGGCCTCAAGTCACATTAATTAAAACTCAGCTCCACTTCTGACACTTAACTAATTCTTGGTTCTTCAATTTAAAATAAAAAATCAAAGGATCATCATCTTGATCATCTGAACTTATTGTAAAACCGTTTGTTTTGATCAGTTTTCCAAGGCAATAACAATATACTAGTTTCAAACTTTAAATGGAGCAAACCAAGCAAATTTACCTGGTAACCCCCGAGCTCTTTAAGCTAAACGCCTGAATACAGGAATGAGAGAAGTATGGGAATTAGTCTACTAAGCTGCGGAAAATCTTTCACTTGGGAGCTCATTACAACTGAGTTCACACAGTGCCTCATTGTTACCTGGGTTGCCTACACTAGAAATAAAAAACGTTCTCCCCACCTCTTCCTGCCTAAAAAATCACCCTCCCAAAAGCCAGACGTGGTGACAGGAGGTGACCCTTCCTCTGCAGCACTCGAGGACTCGAGGTGGGTGGTGACACACACAGGACAGCCTGGAACCCTACAAAACGCAGCGAGAGCCAACATCTCCCAAAATCCCTGCTCGGGTAAAGATGAACGCTGTGACTTTGGGATGACAGCTGCAACCGCCTCTGCAATTACCTCGAAAAAGTTCTTGGGTGTTGAGCCTGCTGCAAGTCTCAGTGGCCAAAGCTCTGTCTTTGCTTTAGTGGAGGACACTGGAGAGCAGAAGCGACACGATCACACACCTTGCTGATAAAAGAGTTGGCAATTAACCTTAGATCGCCGTGTTTCAGCCCATTGCCTTGAGTGACCTTCATTCCTGAAAGGCTCAGGAGGACAGGGTGTGCTCTGGCCGCTGCCGGAGCCCCTGGGGTGCACTCCCGCCTGAGGGGGCTGGCAAATATCTCTGCCCCAGAGTGCAGCCACTGCCCCGGGGAGCCAGGCTGCACAGCCAGCTCATTATTTTGGTGGCGATTTACATCACTCAAAGGGGGGATACTACTAACTTTAAGAATAAAAACTAAGCGTGCTTGTCAGTCACCAGTCAGTGACCAAGCAACCTTAACTCTCAGTAAAAGAATCAGGACTTTAGCAACTTTATAGCTTAAAGCCACTATACTTCATTCTCTCATTTTAAAGGCTGAGTCAGAGGGCTCAAACCGAAACATCTTCACAATTACCATTTCCCTTTCTTTCTAGTAACCAATTTCTATCAATACTTTGAAGCTCAATAAAGCAAGAACTACCACATCTGACATTAGCAGCAATACTTAAAGGTATCGTCTGATAATAAAACTCAGATGCATGCTATGTGTTTCCACCAACTTAGATTAAAAAAAACAGTGTTAACAGGGATATGGCTCACTGATTTGAAAAATAATTAGGAAATTGTTTTCAAATGTTAACATTACTTTTATTAAGTTACTACAATTTTTATTTTCTTGTGAACATATCTTGATTTATCATAATTCGTAGCTCTGAGATTTCTGGGGTTTGCCATGTCCCTCACCCTTTTGACAGGGGTTTGTCACCCATCAGTCGTTTTCAACCCACTTTCTGTAGCTGGCGCAGACACAGCTGTAGCCAGCACTCCGAGGAATTATGCCAAACTATTTTCTTCCGCCTGCATGTTTAACCATAAGCATTCCTCCCTCTGCTATTGCAGGTCCTCCTCTTTCACACTGAACGAGTCCTGCTCACAGCTTCCTTGTCTTATTCCCCCCCTGCCCCCCCTCCCACAGAGGCTCTGACTTGTGGTTAGTTTGAGCCCATCTCAACTACTGCAAGACAATGGAGGCTCCAAACCACCGGCCGGCTGGCCTGCCTGTTGCCTCTTTCCCCATTTTTCTCTTGACTTCTGGCATGCTCATTTCACATTTTGCACAGTGAGGCAGCCTAAGTTACTAGATTGGTTGCCTACACAATGAAGATACATCTAGAAATGTCACGGTTACTGGTCAGACTTGCTAACGCTGTAGTTACGCTGCTGTTGAGCTAACATCCTTCACCGGCCGGCTGGCCTGCCTGTTGCCTCTTTCCCCATTTTTCTCTTGACTTCTGGCATGCTCATTTCACATTTTGCACAGTGAGGCAGCCTAAGTTACTAGATTGGTTGCCTACACAATGAAGATACATCTAGAAATGTCACGGTTACTGGTCAGACTTGCTAACGCTGTAGTTACGCTGCTGTTGAGCTAACATCCTTAAATGTAGCAGCTAAAACCAGCACCAGTTAACACTGGATTGGATCTAACGCTGCATTTTTCCCCAGATTTTTTAATTCGCACAGTGTCGCGACATTTCTGCTTTTTTTCTCGCCGTAGTCCCAGTACTGGTGCATTTTGAAGGGTGCCATTAGGCACATGCCAGCTTCTCTCCTATCAGCACAAAACAGCATTCTCCTCTTTTTCTGCAGCCGCTCTTTGCCAGAGCACATTCCCATCTGCAGGCTTTTGTTCCCTAACTCCCTGGCTGAACTATGACCCCGCAACCAAAAGACCCCCTGCTTAGGTTGCAGTTCCTTTTCTTAGGTCAGGCAGGAAAGAACTCAACCATGTGCTAAAATATGAGCTCGCTAATTCCCAGTTCACGGCTCCCCCCCCTTCCCAGTGCAGCTCTGAGGGCTTTACCAGGCAAGACCCCCCACCCCACCCGCGGGGAAGGAGCCTCCCTCCCCAGCCCCGCGCAGAACCGGGGCAAACATTTTTCTCCTCTGAATTAGAGTCAGCTACTGGTTAACTTCCGCGTTTGTATTTTGCAGTGAGTGCAAAAAGCGTTTCACGGCACTAACTCAAGTTTCCTGGAGACTAAAACTACTGAACTGAATGTCCCCCATAAAATTTATTTTTTATTGCTTCCTCCAGAAGAAACAGGAGAAACAGAGGGAGAAAAAAGGAAACGGAGTATAGGTTTGTTTCTTCTTTTAAGAGGCTAATCCACAGAAAATAGTTTAATTATCTTAATGTAAAGAGCATGCTGGTTCAGTGCTTTCGGATATATTTCCAAATTAAGTCAGTAAAACAATGATGCTGTTTACATTCCCAGACCTCCCCACACCTATTCCAGTTAACAACAGATTGCAAACGCTCTCAGACTAAATTTAGGGGGGAGGGGGAAGGACTATTTTTGATCAGTGAATGCCTTTAGACCAAAAAGTGCTTACAGCATAATAGACTATAAATCATTTTGTGAAAGAAGTGTCACTGGTGTAGACAGCAGCAAGGATTATTATGCCATCACTCATCTTTTTACCAATATGCAATTAGATCTAACATTGTATTTCCAAGATGGTTTCCTTGAAATGATATAGTGATACTTAATTGAAAACGTGCAGTGAAATACACGAGTAGATCATGCCTTTTTTAAAAAAAAAACACCACCAAACTACTGACCCTTGCTAGTTACAAATAATGTAAATTATTATTCCACCAATTGTAAGGAACCATCTTGCATAGAAGGGCAGGGCTTTTACTCAAGCAAACAGATGAGTTACATGGCTCAGACTGCTTCTAAAGTGGGGTTTTATTCTTAAGTTTCAGACAGACGGAACAGAAATGGAAATCCTTGAACATCAGAGTGTGTATTCATTATCCGAAGTTATTCTACAGCTGAAGTCTTACGAAGGCTACCAACACCACCCACCTTGCATGAGCCTTCACCCACTGTTCAATTATTCCAGTTTCACAACCAGCAGTAGCACTGAAGGACACATTTACTCAGAGAACAGCTGATGAAAATATTTTCCTGTCTTTTAATGAGATTGAATTACAACTGTGCTGAAACAAACCATTCTGTTTTATACTGGACATTAAAGCAGCCCCAAATGAGTGCTGTTAATCCTCTGAGACCCTGTAGCAGAACCCATCAGTTTCCAGATGTTCAGTAGGAAGCAGTTCCTAGCTCTGTACACAGCCATACACAAAGAAAGGCTTGTGCACGCGCTTAACAGATCCACTGTGAGTTTCTCGCTCGGATTTGCCACGAACACCAACACGATTTATCAGGTTTTTTTAGGCACCTCGCACACGCACAGGGGAAGACCACCGGTTTCCGACCACCTTCTCCCAAAGCTGTGTTAGACCATGGATCCCCCTACAGCAGCAGACTATGAATCGCTTCTTTCATGGCCAGTTTGTTTTCTTTCTGGATCAAGAGAACTGCCTTCAAATAAAATTTTGTTTCTCATTCCTTCTTTAAGCATTCTTTGCCGGATCCTGTGTTGGGCCAAATTGTACCTGCAGTAAAACCTAGAGGAGGGGATGAGAAAAACACACAATTCCCTGCTTTATAGGAGTGACAGTATCAGAGTAGAGTTATTCAACCAGCTGAAAAGTTGAAACTACATGTAATAATGCCAGTAAAATTCACCATGAAATGATGCATAATGAAAAGACGTGTTACTGCTATTTCTTTAAGGCAAACATCATGTAGCCAGTGAGAAGCAGGATACACAAACACAATGGAAAATGCTAATTTCTGTAATTTGGATCTTAATTTTGTGACCATTCAGTACCAGGACAGAAGGAGGGCATATGTGAAGGAAAAAAAAGAAAGAATTAAGAAAGATGGAATTAACTGGGTGGTTTGATCTCTTAGGATTCAAGAAAGAATAGCAAGTTTTAAAACAATATTAACATAAAAATTCAAAGGCACTGAACTCTTCCTTTAAATACATGTTTTGGGGAAGGAAAAGGACACTTTGCTAGGCAAGTTTTTTATGGAGTTTCAAAAACAGTGTGAAAGGTCACAAATGGGATCATGTTGTACAAAGCAGGCAATATAGATCTGTCAAAATTCAAGAAGCGTTTTACATACCAGCACCCTAACATTGTGCAAATAAAGCCACCGACTGCAAAGTCACAAGATCTTCTAACTCTACCTGAAAGAAAAACAAAAATCCTTCAAAAAAAAAAAACAACCCAGAGAAAAAACTTTGGATAACTTTCCATTATTAATAAAACCTAAGAGCAAATAGGAATTAATTTCTCCTTGCAAATAAATATATAAAACCCAGAAGTAGTAAGTACTTACTAGTTGCTAAAAAATGTCCCAGACCCACAACAAAAGATCCCAAGGAGCCATAGAGCACCGATTCTCGTGCACACGGGACAACTTTAACATCAAGAAATCCTAGGAGTTTGAAGGACTGTAAGAAAAAAACAAACAAGAGAAACATTAAAAAAATTACTTTTGCAGAAGTCTATAATGCCTTCTCCCCTGTAAAACTGACTTGTTATCTCAGTAGTCAATAAGGATTTCCTACTTCCAGGGTTATATCTGAGCAACCTGAACATGCACAGCTGTATCATAAATGGTTTTGGAAGAGTTAACTATCGATTTAGGCAACACCATTTCGTACAAACCTGTTGATCCACTCTTTCTATGCTTTTAAAAAAAATTAAATTACTGGAGAAAGTACATGTATTAGAAAACTTTATACTGAACATTCAATAAAAACATTTACAAACTAGGACTTTGCACAGCCTATGGCTGTTTGCACAGCCAGGGGCTATTTTAAAATGTTTAAATGTTTTAAAAGGCAAGTTTTTAAATAAACCTACTGGTGAAAATTATTCAAACTATTTCATACTCTACCTCACATCTATAACCTACCCTAGCTCCTATCTATGAGTTTCCTATATAATTTTAAACTGGTGATTACATGTGTCATTCATAAACCCAGTTATGAACGTAAAAAGATATTTTTCATTTCAGAGACACCTACACTGGCTTCTGCATAATGCACCTGGATACAACCCATGTTTCCCATCTGACAAACATCCCTGTGTGTAGGCTGGCACAAGCAGCAGTGAGAAACTCCCTACAAAACGGCCTGAAAGTGACACGGGTCACAGTTAAGGTGGCTGCACTGTAGCAACATCTGAATATCTTCCTGCTATTAATTCTTTTGTTAGCGATGGAGTGAGAATTAGTCTTCATTCTATTGTATTTAAATCTTTAGGCCATTAAATACCATGTATGCAACTCTATCAACAAAAAACTTGACAGCCTATTTTTAAACTCTTTTATTTTTTCTGTAAAGTTTTTCTATATGGACAAACTGAAAACGGACTAAGTATGAAAGCCAACTATTTGCAGAGGGCTGACAACTCTGAGATGAGTCGTTGCAAAACGCATCAGGCTGTGGTGACAGGGATGGCAAGCATCTGACAACAGCTGGATGGAAGTATGGAAACCCCCATCAATAATTTGATCGACGTTCCCCATGGAGAACCATCAGCTGTTTCCACATAATCCCTGCATACGAGTGAGACAAAACGATCTGGTCTATGTTGGTCTAATCTCCTAATGAGTAATTTCAAGTACTCCTATATAGAAGATGTCACCTGATATGTTGCTGTTGTTGGCGAAGAAGGTATCCCTGCTGCCTGCATGATGCATCCTTTTAAAATAGTCTTTCACCTGTTGTTATACTGGAAATGACTTGTTATGGCTCTAACCGCTGCTAACTACTGGCTGGCGTTACGAAGGCTCAAGTTCTGTGCCAGTGTTTCACCCACAAAGAAAAAGCCCCACAGAAAAAGCCCCACAGACGGGTCCACCGAAAAACAGAAACCCCACCCACCTGGCCCTACAGATCCTCAGTTCTGCCATCAGTTTCCGTGTAGCCATAGAATCACTGAATAGTCTGGGCTTGAAAGCACCTTAAAAACCATCCAGTTCCCACCTGGCCCTACAGATCCTCAGTTCTGCCATCAGTTTCCGTGTAGCCATAGAATCACTGAATAGTCTGGGCTTGAAAGCACCTTAAAAACCATCCAGTTGGGCAGGAACACCTCCCGCTAGATCAGGCTACTCAGAGCCCCATCCAGCCTTGCCTTAAAAACTTCCAGGGATGGGGCTTTTCCACCTTCTCTGGGCAAACTGTGCCAGTGTCTCAC